CCGACGACGCCGTCGACGCCGCCGGCCTCGCGGATGGCGCCGGCCAGCGTCACCATGCCCTGCGCGATGCCGGCGTACCGCCCCGTGGCGTCGTTGCGCCGCCACCACGCCCACGTCTCGGGCTCGTAGTCGGGCTCGCCGCCGGCCGGCGGCTCGTAAAAGGGCATGTCGCTCGCCCGGAGCCGGATCGGCCCCGTCGGGTACAGAAGCTGCGGCTCGAGCGACACGGGCGCCAGGAGCTTGGTGAGAGCCTTTTCTAGGGCGCGCGTCTTGGCGCGGAAGAGAGTCCCGTTTTGTGTGAAGCCTAGGTTTGGTCAGCTGGCAGAGAGATGCGGGTTGGGGGTTCGGGGCGGCGGACCGTGAATCATGAGGATCTTGACGGGCTTCTTCTCAGGTGGGCTGCGCTTTGGCGGTGCTGCGGCACCGTTGGTGCTGGCAGACATGGCGCGGATGGTGAGGCTTGATGACGGATAAGAGGTTCGTAGAGCCGTGGGGTGGAATTTGCGGGAAAGGAGCGGACGAAAAGCACAGATCATGAACGACGGGGGATGTTTTGACTAGAAAGACGGACAAGACGACACAGGATGTGTAATCGCGCGATAGCTGGGCGAGACGGCGTATGAGTTGTTGGAGTGAGATGTCGACGCTCAGCCTGTGGTGAAGTGTAGTTGCGACTTAGTGTCTGGGTGGGTTTCCGGCGAGCAGCGTCATACGCCGTGTCCGTTAACCTGATTCGGACGACGTAGAACAGCACCGGGAGAGTAAGAATTGGTAGCAGTCTAGATATTAAATTGCAACTTGCAGATTGAAGTCATTTAGAAGATTCATGTCGACAAAAGCCCGTTCCGGCAGCACGCCCCCTTCTAATCCTCCCACTCTATCAGACCGTGCCATCCCCAAGAAAGGTCGGACAGAAAAGTAGCCCTCAAGCAATGCAGTGACCAAGTCGCCGAATCCAGTACCCCATCAACTTTCGCCACGGTTTTTCAGACAATCAAAGGCAATGGTAGTCACGCGGTCGTTCAGGGTCGAGTACAAAGGGTCTATTATGCCCGATATTCGAGTCTATGGTACAATCAGACGGTTTGGTTGTGGTTGCATTCACTGCATCCGGTTGGTATGCTCGTCACCCCGTTACTGCTCCTTTCCTCCTCTCCGTTCACGATATGTTTAGTGGCCGCCAGCAGTCTTAGCGTTGGGGTTGCGGGGGTCGTTCTTCCACTCGTCGGCTGGGATAAGTCAGTATTTGGGTTTCGGCGTCCAATACAGTCCAGTGTCAAGGCAACGTACAGGCCATCATGGCGTTCTGAGCAGAGTTGGCGCCATAGGCAATGACAGCACCTGCAAGTCGTGTTAGCATTTCTCGCTTCGAGGACGCGGCAGAGTTCCCGAGCCGCATTCGAATCTCGTATTTTCGCCATTGAATCGCGAGGTTGCGATGGAAATTGCTGTCGATTTCGGGATCGCATTTTCGCATTACGTACCGGCAACGAAGAAAGGCCAGTAGGGCTTCACTGTGGTTGGAAGGGCAATTAGCATAAGATCTCGGGATCGTTCGGGGGGGCGCTTTTCAGGCGGTGGTGGGCGGCGCGCGTGACGGAGCGGCATTGACGTACGGAAAGGAGCCGGGAACTTCTTCAGGGGAGCGACGCCGAGCCAAGACATGATGGCGGTTGTGAATGTATTCTGCGGCGGACGGGGAAGAATTGAGTGGTTGTTATGGCGGTTGAGATGGAACGAGCCTTTTTCGTCTGCCTAGCAAAGCTCCGTGCAAGCCTGCTGGCGGCTCGTCGAATCAGAAGGTGGAGCCTGAGGCACGGAGAAGCTTCGGAAGTCGGCGCTACGTGTTTCTCCGGCCGATCAACTTCCCAACAGCAAGTCCGTCAGCTCACGTGAGAGTTTGTCTTCTAGGGTGGATATCTTAGGGGAGCATGATTGGCCAGCCAGGCAGCTCAACGAGGAGAAGTAGGCTCCACCCAGAATGCGGAGGCATCAGACTAGTAGTCATAGCAGTAGTAATACCACCGTACCTTGCTCGCTGCAAGCTCCGACTCTCTCCCAAGCAATAAGAAGGCAGCCATTACCGCACCATCTGCCACGCCACCACCTCAAACCTGCACGACTCGCCCGCTACTTCTGCAATAAAAAGTGCGGGGTGACTGCCAATATCGACTGCAACCTCCTCCTCTGCTACGCCCAATCACTAGCAGGGACAACCCTACCTCTGCCCCGGCTGGTAAACCACGGCTCCTTCCTAGCTTCTCTGTGCTCTGCCTCGCTTGTTGTCTCGCGCTTGTCTCTCTCTCTCTCTACTCCGCTTCTGTCCGACTCGTCTCGTCGTTGCTTCGATTTATAAGACGCGCTAGATCCAGCCGCCCGTTATTCACCGAACGCTCCGCCGAGTCCGCCGTTGTCCGTTTGTTGTGCAGTGATTCTCGTACGGGTTTCACCTCTCGACAAATCGCCCGCAAACCATGCTTCCCGGTCGGCTCTCTCGCCCAGCGCTGGCAGCAGCTGCTGTCGCGCGCTCTGGCGTCCGAGCGATGAGCGCGACGACTGCGATGCAGTCCAAGACGCCCAGCATGGGCGACATTGACCCGGCCAAGTCCTCCGTCGAGGCATTTCACGACAAGCAAAAGACATTCCGACAGAAGCTAGCCCAGGCACAGAAAGAACAAGGAGCTCGTGCGTTTGATGCCCATAAACATCCCCAGGAGTCTGCCCCGTCCGCAGACAGCTCACCCAAGACCTCTGTAGGAGCCGCCGCCGCCGCTTCGAGCGCCACGCCCGATAAGAAGTCGGGGCCGCTGTCTAACCTCATCTACGGCACCAAAGAAGGCCGTGAGATGGAGGCGCAGCTCGAGGCCAGCTTCAGCCAGGTCCTCGCCCGTGGCAAATACGTCCACTCTATAGTCTTCCACCGCGTCAAGCCTGACAAGGTTGACGAGTACGTTGATCTCGTTGGCAACTGGTATCCCACCATTGCCAACAGACCCGAGAATAAGGTTCACCTCGTAGGAAGTTGGAGGACAGAGGTTGGCGATTGTGACACATTCAGTACGTTGATTCTGGAGAACATGAAGCATCTGCAGCTAACGACTTTACAGTCCACATTTGGGAGTATCAGAAGTATGAGGGCTACCACCAGTCTCGCCATTCCATTTGCAACCACCCCGAATTCGCCGAGAACAACGCAAAGCTTCACAAGCTCATCGACTCTAAGAAGATTGACCTGATGCAGGAGTTCTCCTTCTGGCCGACGACCCCTCCCAGGCAACTCGGTGGTGTCTTTGAGCTCCGATCCTACACGCTTCATCCTGGCAACCTACTTGAGTGGGAGACTCACTGGAGACGCGGCCTCAAGGCCCGGCGCGAGGTCATGGAGGGTGTTGGCGCCTGGTTCGTCCAGATTGGCGACCTGAACACTGTCCATCACCTCTGGCAGTTTGCCAACTTGGAGGAGCGCCGTGCCCGCCGAGAGAAGAGCTGGTCTGTTGAAGGCTGGAGCGACACTGTGCACAAGACTGTGCCTTTGATCCAGAACATGCAGTCTCGTATTCTGATCCCCATGCCATGGTCTCCCGTGGCCTAATTGCACCCTTCGCATTTTGACGTTTCCATCTGTGGCTTGTATATGGATGAAGCGACCTGTTTGCCGCCAAGGCACTTATTTTCCTTTGTCAAAGAATCAAGTCGAACATTTTCATCAGAGAGCCACAACTGGGCTGGAGACAGGATTTGCTGCGTTTGGTCATGTTTTCGTATTGGCTTCTGGCGAGGGAGAACGAATCTGTATAACAGCCATTTCACATGTGGTTTATTAGCAACACTGGATCAATAGCATATTCACGTTTTAGAGGCCCCCTTTCATTTCTTGCTATAATAGTTGCATTGTTTATTATATGAATGTTGCCTATTACTTTGCTACTAGTCTTGTGGAAAGCTACCGAGCACCGCAGCCAGGTTGCGGCGTGTTTGCCCCAGAACATGGTTGAGGAAGCCAAGCTTGGAGAAGAGGGAAATCAACGAAGGGTCGGCACTGACGACGCGAACTTTTTCTCGAACATGCACCTCTTCGGTAGCTGCTTGGCCCTTTTCACCACGCTTCCTAGACAGGACCAGACCACTGCCGCCGCCGCCGTTGCCCTTTTTATGGCCCAGCGTCGAGCCATCGCCAGACGGGTTGTAGTTGAAGGCGGTATCCATCTCGTCGTGCTCCAGGCGGCGCATCGTGCCGATCGCGAGGCCCAGCTTGACGCCAAAATGCACCGGCGCGTTCGCCGGCTCCAGCACGCGCAGCCAGAGCACGATGCAGCTCTCCTGTATGCCAATGTGGAAGCTGATGGGGTTGTTGACGTTGTTACCGCCCGCTGTCGCAAAACTGGCTGCAAACGCGCCGACGCCGCCCGAGCCGCCGCCGTTCCCACCGCCGACGCTACTGGCGGCCGCGGTAAAGTGCTGCGCGGGGCAGGAGCTCGTCTGCCATGTCGGATCGTTCTCGGTGAGGGGTCGGCCCTTGAGGAGCGCCGTGGCCTCATCGAGCGACTCGGAGAGGAGGGCGAGCGAGGAGGCGAGCGTGGCGGCGTCGGGCGGCTGCTGGCTGAGCGTGACGTCGAGGAGGTTGACGGCCTGGGTGAGGTGCGTGTTGAGCACTTCGAGGGCGGGTATGTAGATGGGCTGCTGGGGAGCGATGGTGAGGAACGTGGTGGTTGTAGTTCGTAGTTGAAGGTTCAAAGTCTGCCGCGGGTAGTTGAGATTAGCGATTGGCTTCTGGTAACACCATCTTGTCCTTTACAGAGGGGGTAGCAACGTACACCCTTGACTAGTCGGGTTCCCACGCGGGTGATTGTGCCCTTGACCTTTTCGTTGCGCGGCGTGCTCATCACAAGCGTGCTGCCCGGGTCAATGGGCGCGAGCAGCGCATAGCAGTCCTCCAGGCCGTGCTTGAGGTCGCGGCAGACGTCGAGACTCTCGGCCGTTATCCAGGCGAGTTCATTTTTCTGAATACGGATTAGCATGATGGGAATAGGAGATTTGCGTGTGATTGGAAACTGAGAAGAAGGCGAGCAGACAGCCCGCCCAAAACGGGGAGAGAAGAAGAAGAACCACGCACCAAGCCCTCGGCCTCTTTGAGCTTGCGCTCCTCCGGGGAGACAGGTGGCCAGATGGCCAGAGACATGGTTGTCGGGAGGGGGGGAAAGGAGAGAGAAACCAAAAAGTGGTGGGCTAAGGTGGCGGCTGAAGCGCTGCGCAGGCAGCCATTTCCCTTGTCGCTGGCGTGGCGGGAGCAAAGGCGGACGAGGAAGCTTGTTGATGCGGGAGAGAGAGTCTTGCGACAGATGATAGTTGGGAGGTGGGCCAGGTGACGTGGGGTCAGGAGCTGCACAAGTAGGTGCAACAAACCAGCAAAATGAAGATGATAAGACTTATGATCACAATGTTTTGTTATTCTATTAATGAAGAGTTTGGGATAGTCATTTCTAGACTTGAAATACGAATGCGTGCGTGCAAGGCATCCATATCTTTGGTCCATGTCTTTACAGGTCACTTGTACTTGCGCCGCAGTGGATCCAGGCGCTTCAACTTTCAGACATCGCCAAAGCTTTTGAATGTCTGACGTTTTCCACCCTCTTGAGCCATCTCTCTACCACTCACATTATCTTGCGACCATTTTCACTGTCAACGCCACGCCATTCAACAAGCCGAGAAACAGCCACAAGGGCGCTTTTGCTTCCACAGCTGCCTGAACCGCTAGCATCAAGGCACGTAGGCTGCCAAATTGCAGCCTAGAGCACATATCAGCCATCCATGGCAAACCAGGATGAAAAGGCAGCGCCTGTGCGACAGACGAGAACCATCGGCTCTGCCACAAAGTTGGATCCCATCCCGCAAGGTATCTTTCCTCTCTCCCCAACCCGTCATGCCCCTTGAAGCCGCCGCTGACGAAAAATCTTGCCAGGTTCCACGCTGCGCAAGCGGCCGCTCATCCGACGGCCCTTGCCCGCGTCGTCCAAGGACCGCCTCATCTACGTGTCGTCGAGCACGCCGTTCATGTCCGCCGTGAAGCGCGTGCGCAAGCAGCTAACGCGGTCTCTCAAGGCGGACGGGCGGGCGCCGGCCGCGCGCAAGCACGCGTCGCTGCACGCGCGCATCGAGGGCCTGAAGCGCGACGTGGAGCAGCAGCAGGGGCGCGCCGGCGGCGGCGAGGCGACCGTCACGCTCGTGGGCACCGGCCGGGCCGTCGAGAAGACGCTCGCCCTCGCGAGCTGGTTCGAGCAGCAGCCCGACTGCGCCGTCGCCGTCAGGACCCGCACCGTGGCGACGGTCGACGACGTGGCCCCGGCGGAGCAGGACGACCAGGAGGAGGAGAGCAGCCGGCTTCGGAGGTTGAGCTGCCTCGAAGTGGTCGTCAGCTACAAGTGACACCGCGCCCGGCCCTGCATCGTCGGGACTAGTATTATGGAAGAGAGTTCTTGACCGGAACGTCCAACCAAAAGGGCGTGCCAGGGTTCAGGACTAGCCAACGCCTCGCAAATGTTTAGTTTTGTGGCAGGTTCTCCGCAAACAAAAACGCCTTCGCTTTCGTGGGCGGCGGAGTAAAGGTTAGCAAGCGGCGCTCCCTGGGAGGCTGCGCTTGGCAGAAGCGGAACACCCGGAGCCCACGGAGCTTCATGCTGCGGCGTTTCCAATTTCTGGAAATATCACCGATACCCCACCACCTTGGCTTTTCGGACTTTTGCGAGCACTCATAGACCATTCCGGTCGCAATTACCAATCCAAGATTTTTTCGGACTGCGAGTGATATCGCCGCAGCGGGCCTTGATGAGATGCACTATGCAAATATTGGATGGACCCCGCTAGAAAAGATAAGATGATAGTCACAAAGCGCGGATTGGATATATTTGATGTGCCGTGATATTGCGGGCGTTATTTCTACATGGTATCGCTGATGAGGAAAAATACTCGAATGTCCAAGAAATGGGTGGGAAAACAAAAAAATAAACAAAAACTTCGGACCAATGATTCTTGTTGTCCGTGAAGCCTTTCCAGGGCGCCGATATGCAAATGTGACCATGCGTCCAAAAACTCCGAGCCCGTGAGCAAAACCATTACATATTACCATACAAAGATAGATGGCAACGATAAAGTGAGAAACCAAGTCATCGAAACACTAGGCGTGTCTCGAGATGCCAAAACGCCGGACGGTGATGGGGGTCGAAAAAAGAGGGGGATTTGGAGGAGAGGGGATAAAGGATTTACGTGACACGAAAGGCACTGCATAACAGTTAGCTGGGAATTTTGGAGATAATCTCAAGACGCCGAAGAAGATAACGTACTCAATAATGAGCTCATCGCCTTTCCATACGCCGCTAGCAACCCATAGACCGCAGTTGACGAGCTCAGCATAACGCTTGTCGGCCGCCTTGACTGTGCAGAACATGCGGAAGCTATATTGGCGAGGATCAATATCCTTGTCCTTTCGGGGGCTCAGGAGGACGTCGAGGACGTTGCAGGGACCGGAGAGAGAGCCGCGGGTGCGCATTTCAAAACTAAGATGAATTAGCGACGGGAGCGGGCAGCGACTCGAGGCATAACTTACACCGCAGGAGCTGCTTCATCAGTTTGGAGGACAAAGGCGCCTTCGACAATACGGATTGGACGGAAGCCACGGGCCTGGCCTAGGTCATAGCCGCCAGCCTGTGATTGTTTCGTGTTAGTTGCCATGTACGCATGGAAAGGGAAATATGAATTCGCAACCTACCAAAACGCGACCGTTGCCAAAGGTCCCCGACCATTTACCGCTGGTCACGGTGATGATTTCCTTGTGGACTCTATTTTCGGAGCGCGACAGCTCGGGGTTCAGGGAGACGGCGATGCGAAAGTCGAACTCGAGGGCGGGCATAGGAAAGAGCAGGTCGGGACTGGGGAAATGGTCGAGCTCGCGTTTGGCGAGCTCCTCGATGTTTCGTGATGTCGGACAGATGCTGTCGATGGCCATGTTAGTGACAATGAAGAGAATGGAGCAAACAGACTGGACGGCCGGGTGAAGTCGTCCCAGCTATACGGCAACATACCCCATGAGTCGAGGATCTAGCTCCGAGCAGTCGTCGAGTTTGCGCTTCTTCTGGCAGTGCTCTGACATGGACGTCGAGTGTGACGAGGACGATGGGACCGGCATGCGGGCGGCACAGGCGGTGGGCATGCAGGCACTGCCGTCCCAGCCAAAACTCAGAATATCCTCGCCTTGCCGGCTGGTGCCGTCGTTGGCCGAGTTTGTGACGGGCGTAGGGGCGTCGGTGCCTTGGGAGTGTGTAGGGACCGACGAGGTGTCCGTATCGGTCGCCATGACAGTCGGTTTTGGTATGTGTGATGCAGGAAAAAGGACGAGACGAGAGCGCTCCTCAAGAAGAATAGAAGAAGAGAGCCGGTCGCAAGAGTTTGAATTTGTAAAGTAGGTTTGGGGGGCGGCGGCGCAGCGTCGGGGACTGTATATAGGTGGGCGCCTCTTCGCCGTTCGGTGACAGCGGAGGGAAGTGGGTTGGTATAAGTAGGCTCCCTGGACAGTTGACGTTTGTGGTGTGGCAGTCGCTATTCTTATGCTATGCCCCAAGAGCGATAGATCAAGTAGTTATATATCGTCAATCTATGTTCGCTGGTTGGCTGCTGCAAAAAGGGCAGGGTTGGAGCTGAAGGAAGGAGGAGGAGAGGGAGGCAGTCAGGCTTGGTGGTTTGCGGCTGGCCCGTCGTGCGTGGGCATCCAGGCGCTTTTGTGTAAAACGAAAGAGGCGACGAGTGAATGAGGAAAGCGGAGCCTCTGTTCCCTCTTGCCGGGCTTGCCTTTTTCTCTTTGCAGTTCCCGGGGAGGGGAGGAAGGGAGGGGGGTGGGCGTCTGGTTGATCTGTCTGTTGACGTCTTGTCTGGTGTCTGGTGCTCAAGGCTGGCTGGGCTGGGCGTGTCAAGAGAAGGAGGGAGAAAGTAGTTACTCCGTACAGAGCAACTAGCCAAGTACTAGAGTGAGTGTGTGCGTATGCTGGGCCCTGGAGGCGGGCCCAAGGGTGGGCGCTGGGCGGACTTCGGCGTGTCAAAAGCCGGCGAGACCGCTGGAATTTTTTCGTCTCTTGGCTCTGTGCTAGCCTGTGGCCAGCTGGTGTTGCGGCCGGACTCGCGCTTCACTGAGTGAGCACAGCTCCACTGAAGAAGGCTACTGATACTGGTACAAGCGTACAAGAGGGAGCCAGGGGGGAGGGCGTGAGCTTCGAGGTCTCTGGGGGCGTGGCCATGGACTTGTTCTGGGGGCGTGTTGCTTGTCTGCGTCTGCAGTGCAGGTTGTATATATTAGGGAATAATAGTAGTCAGCCCAACAAAGGGACCACAATCAAGAACGATGAATCTTGTATGTAGCAGTCGACTTATACAGTCAACTTCTACAAGTCGACTGTTCCTTTTCCCGAGCGTACTGGTCGACGCGTCTTTTCTCGGGTTCTGGATAGTGATGGCGGGAAATGCCAAGGTGCCGCGGAAAAAAATACAGGAGCAAAATTAGATATGACGGACGGCAATGCGATTAGGATAAAGGCGAGTCAGTCTCGGTAACAGAAGAGCAACAAGACGGCAATTTCTGAGGCAGTTGAATAAGAGATGAACCAAGAAGGCTATTTGTAGCTTTGCCGTGCCTCCTGTATCATGTTTGGCTGCCATGTTGGGCGTTTGCGTGGATTGCCTAGTTAGCCGGTTGGGTGACTAGTGGACTGATGTCTTGTACCATGGTGAGATTTTTGGCCTACTGCTTGCCTCACCACCCGTCCACTCGGACGACACGTATCATGGCTTTTAGGCCATGGCGTCCAAAACGATGGAATGGGGTGCATCAAAGCCGACAAGGGTTCAAGGGGGGGAAGATGTCGTTGCACATCCACATGGCCCAAAGAAGGAAGTCGCAGCATGTGGTGCAGAGTACAGGTTCCGTTGCGAGACACGCACACTAGTTATCCGGCCTCGATCTCCGAACCAATGTTTGCAAGAGGAAAAGAAAAGGTACACGGAGGTTCCATCAGATAGTCTCCAGGTTGAACAGCGGCGTTTGCAGCAACGTTGGAAAGAGCGTGCTTCTACTTCCAACCCATTGACGGGCGCTAAAAAAAAAAGAGTTGAACAAACAAAACCCAGCCCTGAAAAGACGCAAGAGGCGAAAACGTGAACATCAGGCAAGATTTGTTGCGTGGTTTTGGCTCCAACAATGGGGACCGACTAGACGCCCTCAAGTAGCCGTCATCTGGTGATTATATGGCCCAAGGAATAACGACGAGTGGAACGATGTGGGCGGCGGGACAAAGGCCCATGGCTTCACCGCAACCCATCTACGACCAAGGGCCCTCGGGAAGCTGGACAAGAATGCTCTGGTGTCTCCGCATGATTCATTGGGTCGTCCATGCCAGATCGGAGGTCATGTCCTGTTTTCCTGCAAGATCAGGAGAGGAGTTGAATAGATGACTGCACTGCAAAGGCCCCCCTCGAAACCGTCCCAGTCATGCCCTGGTCCTACGTCCTAGTTCAGAATTAGTAACGAACTAGGTATGTAGTTAGTTATTCTCAGCGGCCGCCGCGACCAGCCCGTCGGGGAACTTGCCACTGGCTCCCCTGTTTTTCTTACAATTAGCGTTGGTGTCCGTTGACCCTTCCGGAGTCCGTCGGGGCACCGTCGGGTCATGTTGCCATTGGGTGGCCTTTTTTTTGGCCCCGACGCCCCCCCCGAGAACTCCGGGGCGGGCTGAGACGAGCTAACTATTGTCGTTGTTTGCCACGAGGGAGGGACCTTGCCTGGTTCTTTTTTTTTTTTTTTTTTTTTTTTCAGCGTCTAGTTTGTCTCTGCTTGGTCATGGCTGAGGAATCAGCTAACGTCGACCACGGGGTGACCGCACGCAAACCCCTGCCAACCGTACAGCTAAAAGGGGTATAGTATAGAGATTAAAGAGGAAAGGCGTAGAAGGTATCCACGTATGCACTGTGTTTTAATTCGTTAGAAACTTTTAGCTAATTTAGCTAGCAGGGCTAACACGCCCTTAAGACTAAGGAGCTAGTTAGAGGATATTAGCTACTTGAAATTACTAGAGGACGCCTAGAATAATGATCTTCCGGCAATAGTGTGAGCGTATCGAGGCTAGCCTTTCTTAGAAGGGATAGGCGCCTTAGCGTGTGCGGTTGTCAGGGGTTTGCGTGCGGTCACCCCGTGGTCGACGTTACTGACTACCTTTAATTACAAGGCAAAGAGATCTCGGAATAGGTGTTGTACCCTGCTGTACCAACCTTCTCCCCACCCCATCTCGGAGAGCGACTCTGATGATCTTGCATCGTAGCTTATTTTTACTTTGCTCCTTGTCTCATGCAGTGACATGCTGCGCATCTTCTTGTCCCCCATTCGCATTCCAATTTTTCAATCATGGTTGGATGTGACCAAGCTCCCGCTAATAGCACTTCCTAGTCGGCCTGACCTTTTGCCGCGTCGGGACGACGTACGACCCAAGACAATACGCAAACGCAAACGAGCATGACGGCGAGTGGATCATTGTCGCCGTATATCCTTTGTACTCAAGCCGGACAGGGCCGATGGACAAGCGACATGGGCGGGTCGGACGATGGTCTTTCTTACTCGCACTTCCGATACCTAGGTAGTCTGCGCATCGGGTAATGAACTGGCTCGGCGGTGTCGAACTTGCTGACTCAACAGTGCATTGGTATGTAGTTGAACAATTTACCAAGCCACCGAGGTTTGGGAATCAAAAGCATGACACACACACATCTTTGTCTTGGCACTGACTCAAACTGTTGCGAGCCAGATGCCAGCAACTATCCATAAGTTATCATAATATAACCTGATTTCAATACTGGGCTGGAATGAGCATTTGTCACCTTGCACTACAGACTGCCGTTGACCTTGTCCCCCTCTGTAACTACAAATTTTGTCCTCAAACAGTGACAGTGACACAACAGTGCAAGGAAACACGACATCGCAAACGATGAGACAAAAACGCCCGCGGCTTTCTGAGATTCGGCTCCGGGGCATTTCATTTATTAGACGTCGGCCCTACATCAAGCCGAACCCCAAGTTTAAAAAACAACGTCCGTGTCCATTTCAGCCCCCCCTTGTCCACCCTCTCTCTGACCCGCGCGCCTGTTAACCCGGACCTCTGCTGAACAACAAGATTAGGCAAAGTTGCCCCCGTCTCTGCCTCGCTAAGCTCGACCGTACGAGCATTACGATTGTACGAATTAAACAGGGCTCTAATAGGATCCAAAAAGGGGTCCCGCTTCACCGTTGGTAGCGTCAGAGACGGAGATACTGCCTCAACTCAGGTTGGTTCGACACAGGCCTGCAAGTGAAATCCCCCAGGGGCTCCGCAATTTGCAGTTGGCCAGCAATGGCAGGGTCGTCATTACCAGCCATTACGGGTACAGAGTTACTGGTATGGGCTCCGCGTAGGGCAGGGTGCGCCGGAGCTCGAGACACACGCGCACCACCTGTCGGGGGTGGCGTCTTCTAGGCTCCTTGGCCAATGTAACCCTCGATCAGCCCCAGCGAACAGCCAAAATCTGTCTCTTGCTGGTCCCTGCTCAATCTTGAACTCCTCTGAAACTACATATCACCGATCATGAGTTGGCTGCTCCCGTATCCGGAGCTGGTGCAAGGACCCCGGTGATGGGAGCAACGATGGCTCGGCCAAACTCCTTTTCCATCAGTACTTCTCTAACTATCCGTACCCTTTGGCGGAGGAATCTTTGTTTCAACGAAATGACCCGACAACTTTACTACAGTGCCCCCAAAACTAGTCTCTCAGCCGCTCCTGCTCCCCCCCATGTTCCCGCTGATACTAGTGGCTGCTGGCCCGCACACCTAGATGCAGCTCGCCTTTTCAGCTCCTCGCAGCTTCCAGCTCGGAAGCTGCACCAAAGCAAAAAAAGAAACGAGGTTTGTTGCTTCTCGGCCGGCCGAGGAGCCAACGTGCAACAAGCGCAACGGTCTTGTCCTTTGCTGGCAGAAGCGAGACACCAGCCATATGTACGAAAACGCTACGGATCTACATTCATGATACGGGATAAACAACATTGCCTGTTTCGGGGACAAAAGAGCGACACCCGTCCTTTCCCTCTTGCCTCATGACCTTTCCCCCGCTCCCGCTCCCGCAAAAAAAGGTAACCAACTAGTTACGGATAGCTGCCGTTGCCGTTGCTTCATATCTCGAGGAACGCAAAACCACGCGATTATCCAACGGATGGCAGCCTCCTTGCACTCGCGGAGAGTGGGCTGTGCATGCAGATATGCAGGCCCGGGTTCCCCTCTCTTGTGGCCCGGGTTGGGAATAATCGGCGCCTTCTCACGCGTCCTGCCAAGATGCGGGCAATCTGTCTTGTGATTGTCACTGGACCGTTGAAGAAGGGGGCGGGTGGCTCTCTTATTAATTTGCTGCCCTTATCACCTTGCTATCTCTTCTCGTCTCTTGCTTCCATCTTTGAAAAACCCCGCATGCCCTCGCCTGGCACCTGGCCTATAAACTCTGCCTTGATACGAGGCTGAAGCCGCACACGCCCCCTCCAAAGCCAGGTCGGATTGCTTTTTGGCAGGGGACACGGAGATGCTGAGGTGCATACTGAGTATGCCCGCGCAACATATCGCGACACATAGCGCGACACATCACAAGAGTAGCCCCTGCATAACAGCAAGTTGTGTATCAACGTGCTCTCAACTACCTCCGAAATCGCCCTGATCTTACGCACCCGGCGGGTATCGCTGACCGACTGCTCTAGTCTTGTGTTTACAGCTTTATACTTTAGTGCTCGTGCTACTCACGGGCCCCATGTCGATTGCCGCTATGCCGAGCGAATCGACGGAAAAATACACCCGAAAGGATTTCTGGCAGAATCTCGGTCAAGTCTAGTTACCCTCTCGGCGGGTTGTCCTGAGTTGAGATGCCTATGGCGCGTGTGGAAGGGGGGTGGCACCAACGCTGAGCTCGCTCACGCAGATATTCAGCCGTACAACAGATGAGTTGAGCAGAAATCGGGACTGTGACGTACTTGGGGCTGTTTCTTATTCCTACCATGATCAAACTTTCGTACACGGCCGTTCATGTGGCAATGCCGCACGGTGAGCAGCTTGCAGAAATACGCGGTGCTATTAATATGCACTGCACATGTCCATCAGATACTGTAGCCTGGCTAAAAAGACATTCCCCGGCGACAAATGTCATGTGCATTGCACATGAGGCGTCAACACCATCGCCAAAACGAGAATCTATGCTGATGGGATTTACATGTCCATGTTTGACTGTTCTATTCGTGGGTAGTCGGCGCAGTCATGCCATCTACCTGCCAGTCGTCTGTGAAGCGGGATTCGCTTAAGCTGGGTATACTAATTTGAGCCGCATCGGACGCGCATAAGTCGACGGGAACGTAAGGCTCACTGCCCTGCGAGATGCTAGTTTCGGCCAAAATCGGAAGAAGTTGTAAGGCGACCACGTAATAGCATGTTGACAAACTGTGCTCACCGGGTGAGAAAATACTGGTAGTGGCAAAGGTCACGCTGATGAAGTTTCGGTAATTAATCTGCTCTAAAACAGAGTAATATAAAATTCTTGAGTTCAGAGTGTAATACGAATTCACGGCCGTGCACCGGAACTGGAGCCATGCCAGCTGACGGGAGCAGCCGATGCCCGGTGAGGTCAAAAGAAAAGAGCACCAAGAGAGACACGCCTGAGCCACACGGGACAATACTATGGAGATGAAGTGTCACGGCATGAGCGAAGAGGTGGCTCTCGCCTTTCGCTCAGAGGTTGGATCATGTCGCCCGGGTCTCGCGCTTATCGAGATCCGGTTTTCACGACGCCTCTTGGAGGCTTTTTAGTCAAACTCAGAGTCACGGAGAATAACACTGCCCGGTCCCGCAGCGATGCACCGATGCCAATGTAAGAAGTAGGGGTGAAAAATACAGTCATGAAGACACCGTTGGGCCGGCGGCCGAAGGTACGAGCGAGTGTGGATGAATGATGCGATGTCGGAAGGGGCAGGGAGATTGGCGAGCAGGGTGCAATGACCCAAGCCATTACCAAACGAAATCGGCTGCTGCAATGGCGTGCCTTATCAAGAGCTGAAGAAAGAAAAGCAAAGTGCAATGAAGTGGGAAAATAACGAGGAAAAAGGAAATACAAGCTGGCTACACTAGTTTGTGTGCAAGACGAAGGAGAACTTGCGCCGAACTGGTAGCCCACAAGAGGCAAGCTCTCGGCCGAGTGATATGCGATGTCCGGGGGTGGCGGTTCCACTTCTGGGTAAGCAAGAAAGAGGTGAGCGAGGAAAATCGACGATGCGGTGGCAAGCATAACCACGACGAGAAAATACCAGAAAAAGAAAGATGGAGAAGGGGGGGGAATCTAGGTCGGAGATGGAGAATGTATACATAGATCTCAAGTCGCCATGTACATCAAGCAAGGTGTTGGTTGGTTCCGGAGGCCGATGATGGGGGGGTGTGCGTGTAGATGGCGGCAAAGCAAGGCAGCAAGACTGGGAGACTCGGATCCATCTGTTTGAACAAGTAAGAAAAATTCAACGGTTGAGTTTTTTTCCTTGGAATAATCGGCCCGGATACCACCTCGATAGCGGGAATCGGACTGGGGGATTGCTGTTTGAGTTGACCGATTTACTCGGTTGCCAACAAGCCGTGAGGAATGCAACGTCGACGGGCGGCCCTGGGAACAGAACGACCTCCGCTAAAGACCCCTACAACCCTTCCCACAGCATGGTCGCTAAAATGTTTTAGTGAGGGCGTTTCAGCGCTGTTTCCGGGCACAAACTTTTGCCCTGCCCTAATGCACCACCAGTACATTCGCTGTACCAACAAAGCTTCCGGTGGACATTTCTTCCGCTTGGCACACATCTCGTCCACAAACACCATGATATCATCATCGTCAAACGTCAACATCACCATTGTCTGCCCGCCCGTCACTTCTTTCTCCGTCTTGCCACCTCGCACCCACCACTTCCAAGCCCGATCACACCTCCTGCGATAACCCATCGTCGATAATACACGCCCCCTCCCCCGCCGTCTGTAAGCTCTATCGGTCCGGGCCAACTGTAGTCCCCAGGCCGCCGCGCAGCAAACGCAAAAAGCAAGCACCAAAGATCAAGATGCCATCGAGGACCGGGATTCACATCTTTGAGCCAACCGGCTCTGTTCACCCTCATGCAGCGCGTTCTCGGCCTGCATTGCCGGGACGCTTACGAGACCCTAGTAACCCTAACCGCGTTCGCTCCCTCACCTCACCGACCAAGGTCAGCAACAACGGTAAGCGGTGCGCGCAAAGAGTCTGGCTCACGGCATTCGCGTAGGGCCCCCCGTCGACGTGGAAGAAGCTTTTTGCATACTCAGTCGTGTCAGCCTCTCCCATCTGAGCCACCCCGCCCGAGATGCGGGATTTGCGACGGCCTTCATTCCAGTGTGACATCGCCCACCCAAGGGCATCGAGAGATGATGATCAGTGATCCCGCCACACCAAAGCGTCCCGATTCGGTAAAAGATACCGGCTGCCTTCGCCGTAATCCGACCCGTCCAAGGGTCCAACTATCAGCCTAATCACTCATCACCGCTATTTACGCCGCTGCTCGTTTCGCACATTGCCCAATGTCATGCGAGTTGAAGCATCTGCCACTAGTTGCTGCCGCTGATTACGTTGCCCTCGTCTGTTCTACTCATACCGGTTCCGATCATCGCCCATCCACACTCAAGCTTATGCTCTCAATTTCGGCTGGTGAGCGCCGCTGAACACACAACATTAACAATGGCAGGCTAGTCCACGGTGGCTCCCTCTATTACTCCGTTCACTTTGTGACATTACACCGCTCCCTAGAACACCACTGTTATGCACTGTCTTGTTCGCCGACGTCTCATCCTGGCATCCCGCCATCATCAGCTTCGGGAACCGGAACGTCTACTCGTTGATTCGCGGACGCCCATCCGCAATAACTTCGCAATTCCGAGCTCCTCTTTAACTTTCAGCTCCAGTCTAATGATGCTAAACATCCTATAGCGCCTCGGTTTATTCGTTCTACCACAACTACACGCCCCCTTCCGCCAGACTAACTAGCCTAGTCCACCGTTAGGACGCTCCTCAACGCTTTCAACCAAGCATCGAGGCTCTAACTAATCTTGGTATACGAAAGCATGATATTATTTTCCTGTCGATGATCCGAACGCCCTACTGAAGGACGAGAAAACTCCGGGCGGGTTAGCAACTGTCTTGGCTGTTGGCTAGCTTTTACTCTCTGCTGACTCCCCCCACCAAGGCACCCAGCAGCAGTATTGTGAAACTTGCGGGCGAAGCACTTAGATTCTATATTTTTTACAAATGAGTAGTTATTTCTACTCACTGGTGAGCTCTCCGTCAAGACAGTATGTAATGCAAATTCTTTACGTCACCACCATGGGCGAGGCTCGCTACCTGGCGAATAAGACGGGTCAACCATTGCTTTGTGGCGTTCTCTCTGACCCATGATCCCTGGACTAAGTGACTAGTCTGACAGTGATTCATTCTCAGCTCGATGGCCTCATTTGGCGGCAGTTTCAAGTCTGACTGGTAAAATAGCCCTGAAGAGCTGATGTACAGCTCTACGGCTTCACCACTACGTAAGTCAGTATCGCTAGCCCCTCATCTATATCACGACACAAGTGCTTATTATTTCTCGCCATAGACTCAATAGTTGAATGTCGTGGCTATCAATGCACTCGATTCTTCAATACGTATCAAACACTGGAACTTATGGGTGCAAAACTTCAGCATTGTCCGACCACAGCACCGTGCTTCGTCACTGTATGCTGATACGCAGCGTTCCTTTTGGCAAACTTTGGTCCATCTTCAAGGTTCTCAGCTGAAAATCGGGCTAGTAATATTTTCACGCCGTTTCTACCTCAGCTGGCCCCGGACTGTGGCCGACGATGCTTGGCAGCAATCGCGAATCGCAGTCGATTCCCAGAAGCTGCAGCTGGCGCGATGACAGCTTGTCAGCTGGCGAATTTTGTCCTTTTTTTCCTTTTCTTCTTTCGCGAATGGGCCGAGCTTGTACAGTCGCCAACTCTGGAGATAACGTTACCCATCTTCACTTGGCGGCTATTGGCCAGCTTACTGGTATTTGTCGCAAAAAGCAGTGTTCCCACATCCCACACATCATGCTCACGGGCGTTTCCTTTTTCGCACACAGGGCGAGGCCTAATGCCAAGCTTCTCTTTTTGCTTCTCGCCTGCCGCCGCTTTTGACACCGTAAAGCTGTGGATCTTATTTGAAGTTCGAACAAGATGCTGACCCGAGGCTGTCATTTTGGCAGACGAAACCCAGCCGGGCTCTCGTGTCTTGGAGCCTACAGAGGACAAGCCGGCACATGTGCATCTGGACTGCGGTACAGGACAGTGCCAGGCTTGATCCTCGTTTCGAATCGCTCTGCGAAGCTGATGATGGACGTGATGGCAGCTCTTGGTTGCTAGATCTGTATGTGCCGAATGCAGCCTTGGGGACAGAGCTCATAAGCCAGTGACCAAGCTTGCATCAAATGTGACCCGCGGGTGATCAACTCTGAAACGGTTCAGCTCCTTTCAATGTTTGTTGAAACCAGGCTAACAGCCCCGCGCGCGTACTTGATATCAGCCAGCTGCGTTGGCTTCTTCCCCAGATTTTACCGTCGCCTATGCGAATTCTCAGCCGCTGGGCCATGTGAGGCTCAGAGTAAACGACATCCACACAGCTGCCACATATTGGCTTTCACAATCCGCTCTTTGCGGTGGCTTGATTCGCCCAGCTTTGCCCAAAGTAAGCACCCTAGTTGACTAGTCCAGCCGCATGACAAGGCTAGATGGGGGAGAAGACGCCACCAACACATGGCTGAGCTAGAGTAACTTGATTCTCGTGGGAAAAAGCAAACGAGTTGCTCCCAAGAGGCGACGCTCAATCTACTAGGAGCTTCATCCTCCGTGGCTGCACGACATTGGCCGTTTGGACATCAGTCCTAAATTGTGCGAAACATGGTAGGGGATGGGTGCTTTTCGAGTTATTGAATGACCTCAGCCGTTACGGAATATGCAACGGAGCTTCCTGAATAGGAATGAGGCTCGATGGTGGATTTGTGCGTTGACGCTGGAAATATTCCTGATCTCCCCACGCACAGGCGATCGTGTGAAAAGCGCAGCAGATCGAGCTTTTGCACGGAACGGAAACCCGCCCTCGCCATCGGATAGGGATTCGACCTTTGCGAATGCCGTTGCGCAAACAGTCAATGCAGACACACCCGCGCCTCCTCAGCCACACTCGGCCTACGTACACCACAAGTTGCACTTTTTAAAGCGGGCGGCGGAACGAATTCAATGTCATGGGCTTTATTTTTGGAAATCAAAAGGGTAAGGCAGTCTGGGGCAGAATCGTGATATCGCCAAGGCACCGTGTCGGCGGGTCCCGCGTGTCGTTTCGAACGGAAACGGCAACAAAGAACATGCCCATTTCCGCAGCCACTTGTTATGGATCCGATTTCTGCAACTTCATCTTTGCATAGATGGCCGTTTTAGTTGTTTTGAGGGGGAACAACGCATCGCATGGACGGCCCCGGACGTGATGAGTTGTACGCATTATGCGTTTCATGAGCCCTAGTTAGCGTCTCGTCAAGCCTGTTTTGCTACGCGGACGCCTGCGCTCTTTTTATGCGACATCTTGTTGGTCAATGTGGCGATCGCTTATGCCGGGCGCTTCTTCAGACCCTTGTTCTTCTATGCAGCGCTGCTGCCTCACTTTGAAACGTTGTGGTTGCATTCCCGCCATCGCCGGGTGTAAGGCGGCGATGTGGTGGCTGGCAGCCAACTAGGCTGGATGGGTAGCTATTTTTCTTTCGTAGTGGAAAAATGCGAGCGTGAATAACCTTTTAAAGGACTTCTAGCGGTTTTTTTTTATCTTTTGGAGAAGCGATTCAATGGCTTGTTGTCGGCACGTTGATACACAAATCGCTGTTATAGGGAACATGGCAGGTTATCGTCGTCATCAGGTCCCATTGCCCAAGGCCAGATACGTCTTCTCCAGATACAGTATTCCTCGGAGCTTGGCTTCCGCTGTTGATTCTTACGCGCATTGTCTCATTTGGCTGTTATTCAGCCAGTGGTTTTGGGCCACGACATGGAGACCATCATCAGTACTGTTGGTCGCGAGTATCAGGTGCCTGAGTGGCACTTTTATCACAACCACATGTCGTGGAAATATTAGATGAACCCCTTCTTTCGAGCTGAAAGCTGTGCGAGCTGTCATGTGTACAACTCGGCAACTCTATTTCCCCTCACGCAAGTGCTTGCAATACTGTCGTCCCGACCGCTTTCCCAGCACAGGAGAAACGGAAGCTCGCCGCATGGTCGTGCAGCGTTACGCTAGAGGCGCACACCACAAGAGTACTATCCATAAGGACTATCAATATCAGGCACTACAATGATGGGGTGATTGAAGTCGTCGGTATTGATATGGGGGGAGAAGAAAGCCGCCTCCGTAGCTCGAATCGTTGCACACCTACTCCTTGTCTGGCTCGAAGACCCAGGAACGAGACTCGGCCATGTGCACTTCCCGCCATGTGATGATAGAATCATGGTACTCACTCGGTGCTCTACCAACAGTAAGCCTCCAAAGGTCATTCTCATGACGGAGAGAATCTAGTATGCTCTACTTTTCTGGTTCCGCATAAGCCAGCAGCACCTTTTTACTTGGCGAATTCTTACCCGATGCTGTATGTGTAGTTTACTTCGTTGATCGGTCTCGGTCAGATTCTGCGGCTTGCAATTCGTTTATGGATATCCCAATTCAATGGCACGATATAGGACCCGTTTCAAAGAAAAACATGGTGTAGCTCTGTCACTGGAGCTATGTATATATAATGGAAGGTTCATCATATATTCTTCTCATACAAGCAACACTAGACAAATGCAGTGCGCCGAGGTTGGAGTTTGGTTTGGCTTAGCTAAAAGAGCAACGGTACGCTACATTTTCATTGATTCCAACCGGACTTGCCGTGCATAATCTGCCCTATTTCTATACAGAAAGTGTGGGAAAGCCGCCTTCTTTTCCTAATTCAAGCCGAACAAAACGCGCCACACACATGCTAGAAAATGAAAAGAAGAAAAGACAAATTTTGTCATAGAAAAAATGAAGTCCAAAGCAGCCGTCAGAAACATCCCAACAGACTGGGCTAGCCTTCATGAGTGAGAAGAGAAAAAAAACAACTTGAGACGTAGATAGGATCTAAGTACAACGTCGCATAAGGTACATGGAGAAGCGAAAAATTTCAGATCATTTTGCCCCAAATGCGAACATCCCATCCAGCCCCGGCATTGCGCCCAAATAGTGCGTTTTAAGCATCCATAAGACATGGAGCTCTTTTACTTCTTCATGCCTCGTTGGTCAATGCCAGCCCGGTGAAAGGTAGCCAGCAAGGGGGATTATTGGCCCGGTTGTGAAGCTTTTCAGAGACTGATCTTGAGGCCAAGCGAGGGCAAAACGTTGGTGCCATAGCGGCCCTTGAAGTTGCCTAAAAAATAGTCAGTTATATGGTCAAAAGGGGACAGTCAAATGGATCTTACCAGGAGGGCCGTAGTTGCAGACGGTGAACATCGATTGCAGGCTCAAGACGGTGCCAGCGCCGCACGTGGCGGTGTAGCAGCCGACCTTTTGAGAGTCCTTCCAGACGAGCTGGGAGAAGTGGCCAAAAGAGTTGAAGTCAGCACCAGGAGGGGGGTCGGCCTGGCCATAGAAGTTGTAGTTTCCGACTTCCTGTCCGTACCACTGCTCGCCAATGGCTTTGCCAGCGGCGGCGGCGTCCGTGCCAAGGTTGTTAGAGGCACCGTAACTAGCGAGGTTTTGGCCGTAGTTGCCGCCGCCCTGCGTCCTATGGGATTGTCAGGATACTGATCTGTTCCAATGATGCTTGTGGTATTTTCTTACATGTCATGGGCAAAATGGCACTTTTCAGCAGTCGCCTTGGCGTAACCGGCCAGAGTTGCATCCCACGCAAGCTCGCCAGCGCTATGGTCCTTGCGGTAGGCGTTATGATACTTGACAACGGTGTCCTGGTAGCTGCCAGAGGGGGCACCAGTCTCGGGGGGTTGGGGCTGCGAAGTCTGTGTAGGCTGTGCGCTCTGTACAGGCTGTGTTGTCTCGGGCAGAGGCTCGGGGGTTGGCGTCTGGGTAACAGGCTCGGGCTCGGGAGTCGGGGTGGGAGCAGGGGCCAGAGTGGTGGTGGTGGTAATAGTAGTGGTAGGCTTAGGCTCCTCAACAACGGCACTGTTAGGGGGGGGCGCAGGAGCCGAAGGCGTGGCAACGACAGACGAGGTGGTGACAGGCTCGGGCGTAGGGGTAGAGGTAGGCGTAACAAAGTCACCAGCGTCGGCGGTGACAGTGACGGTGACAACCTCGATCACCCATTCTGTTGTGGTGACGGTGGCGCTGACGGCGGCCGCGGCCGCGAGAAGAGCAAGTGAAGACTTCATTTTGTAAAGGTTGGTTTTTAGAATGCGAAACCTAGAGCAGCGACGTCTGTCAGTTCACAAGTTGCGCGAGGACATTGTAAGTGGTGATGTGAGGGTTATGAGGGACATTGGCAGTGGCTGGGAAACATCGCTGTTGAATAGGGTATGTAATGGTTGCTGAGTGCAACGCTCATGCCGTGGTCATGATCCGCGGGCCGGCCGGTTGTGGGAAGTGGTGGGCCGATGGTTGCTTGGATACCGATTGTAGGAATGTATGGAATGCCAGATGAGACATGGACGAAGGGCATTTGGCGGTGGTGGGATATGGTGGAACGGGTGGGCGGATTCGTAGCTCCGGGGCGTTTAAAACATTGGCTGGAATTGAAAATCGCGGCAACTTGAGGTAGACGTGACAACACAGTCCCGGCATGGCGACGTTTAGAGGCGCAAGTGTAATTTTGGTTGTGTACTTGGCGGGGTATCGAAGAGCGGTTGACGAATACGGCGGCAGAGCATGAACAGCGCGGCGCTTTGGTGACAAGACATGAAGGCGAAAAGTAAAATAGCCGGCAGGGCAAGAGGTTGAAGCATGGCAAGAAGAGAGCAGTGAGGGTTGTGGCGGTGGTTGTGACACTGACCTTTAGTTGATGGTTGTCGAAATTGTTGATGTAATTGACGGCAGGGGAAACCAAGAGATTTTAAATTCTGCTTGCGTAGGACCAGCCGTTGCAGCAATTGACAAGAATAGTCTGAACTAGATGGAAGAAAGGAGCGTGAGAAACGAAGTCAAGAGCGAGAATAAAGGAGAGTAGCGAGTCGGCGTTCGCGTACGTTGCAAGAAAGAAGTCGTCGAGCTTGAGCTTGGCAAGTCGGAGAGACAGGAACGGAATGAGGTTCGAGGCAAAAAGGGAAAAGTGGCTTGATATATAGAAAGCGACGAAGAGAAGACTGTTTCAAAGGAGCGGACAGTGTCGAGAGGGTGACACGAAAAGAGAGGCAAAAAGGAGCGAAGGTTGACGAGGACCGGGATATGGATAGAGGCGTCGGCGAGGGTGAGAAGTAAAGGAAGGGGAGGAGAGCGGTGGAACGAGATAATAGTACTTGGTGGATGTGGCCATGTGGATTTGGGAGGATTGGGAGGAGGACGAGGAAGGATGAGGAAGAGAGTGACCGGGGCCTGACGCCGCCCAGGGGGGGGGGGGGGAGGAGGGTGGCGGCCAAGCCAAGGCAGGGAGGGGTGCGATGGAAACCAAGATTGAAGGGGGGCGCCTGGTTCTTGAGTAGCGACACCCCTTGCCACGGTGCAAACGTGCAAATGTGCAAACGGAAGACAGACAGCTGGCAATGGCAGTGGCAGCTGGCAACAAACGGGCGCCTGCTGTACCAGTACGTAATCTGTAATTCGTAAAACTAACGTTATTAGTTGGAGTTTTCGGGCCTTGGCTTTGCTGCTCAGGGGTCGGTCATACAGCGGCTACTGCTACGCTGGTCGCAAGCCCGTCTGGAAATTCCACATGGTCGGCCTATGTCAATTGTTTCTGAAGCCAAATACACTCTGCTCTTGCATTTCCTGCCTGGATATGCATCCTCGCCAGTCGGACCACTCATCAGTGTCGTCTTCGCCTGCCAGCTGGCAACCCGACCCAAACAACTGGGCAGCTGGCGAACAAACAGGGATCCAGGAACGCCCAGGCACAAAGCCATGCGCGGCTCCACCCACATCACATTGTTGGCGCCACCAACGACTCTGGTTGGCTGCAACGGCCAGGGGTACATCTTACCCCATGATATTGGCTTGCACTCTTGCCCCTGGCGCTAGTACTTTGGGAGCATTACTAGCGAAGGACTTGGCCTGGTGCGACGACACCCAGTCCCAACGAGGTCACTCCCAGGTACACTGGGCAGCGCCAAGGTCACACTCAGAGACCAAACTAACCAGCTCACGGTTAGCTCTGCAAAATGACCAGCTTGCTATTTCCTCGTCACAACGCTGCAATAACGGACGCACGAATACGAGTCTCGATGATCCGACATGAATCAGCTCACGTCTATCCATCCGCAGGGTGGCCAGTACATCAAACGGATACTGGTATCTGGGGTTCAAAGGCAGAACATGACCACGAGCCCTTCTGCAGCGAGACAAAACGCCATGTCTAAGATCGCAGCGGAGCATTAGGCGAGTGTCCTGTAGCCGCATTCATATCCGTACATGTCCGGGGTTCCTTCTTTTTTTCTTTTTTCCTCGGTTCTTGGCTTTGGTTCGGGTAGTAGACAGCCCCGTGCAATCAAAAGCAGCGACCATCAACGAACGATTTGTTGGACGGAGTAGCACAAACAAGACGCTCTCATTCGTTACGGAGTACAGATAAAGAGCGCAACGGTCTAGACTGTGAGGGCTGTTTTGTTCAGATGAAGTCTCAATTACGCTTTAAAATTCACGCCAAGGGAAGCGAACAGTGGACACAAGTTATGGCGTCAACTTTTCGAAACGGACATTTTTGCAGAATTTTACAGAACCGTGGCCCTCTGTTTCGCAGCGCTAGATTGTGATAGGGCTAAAGGGATCATCATCCGACGTCGACCAAGGAGGGAAAAAAAATCAAATCGCATTGAGCCGATCCCAGGCACCGTTTCAGAACTGGCGAGGGGAGCAAGCCATTTCAATGCCAGCATCAAACTTTGTTTTATCTCAAACCAACGAGGCGCGAAACGGGGCCGGTCAGTGGGGGAGTTTTGCGCTGTTTCTACTGCATCTACACTAGTTAACGTTGGTTAACTGGCAGCTGAGAACCAGTTCACTAAATAGCGTTTTTTTTGCATAATGTTCAATGCCTAATGCCAGACCACGAGTTCCTCTCCGTGCGCGTCTCTGCCCATCGAACCCACAGCCGGATACCCACAGCGAGCCCCTGTGGCGCATCGATTGTTCCGTACCGGTATCTTCAGTGGTCGCTGGTCGGTGGCACTGGTAACCGCTCCTGTACTGACAGATGGCCGCCACAAGCTCGAAACAATGACGAGAAGTCGTCCGTAGTTGATCAACTACCTAGTTAGTTGGATGCGCAATGATTTCACTAACTAGTTACCAGTTAGACTTTTTTCTAGTTACGGGCAATTTCCAACAAAGACAGCCCTCTCATCCCTGAAACCGCTCTAGTCCCCTTTTGGCCTCGGCCGCTACCCAGATTTACCCCTTCATCTCGCCATAAATCACTTGCACAACCCAATACTTCGTACAGGAGTAATAACCAGCAGTCATACATTTCTACAGTCACATTTTCGATTCTCTTCATTTTACTTTCACCCTCATCTCGCCTCTCTTCTTCCCCGCCATACACGTGCCGCTTTCCCGTCATTGTTTTCACCGTGTCGCCCTCGTGACCCCCCCCCCCCCCCGGGGCCTCCTTGGCACAAACAATGCGCCGACCAGATGCAAGCGGAGCGCCCTGTTCTTCACCATGCACGGACTTTTTCTTATTTTTTGCTTCTGTCATTGTTGCAAGGCAAGTTCCCCATCCGGATATCCGCACTCCTTCCTACCAGGCCCGCGGGTTGGGACGATGCACTCACCTCGTTGTTGAGATGCTGGCAACCACGTCTAAGTACTCTTCTCGCCCTCTTCGCTGACTACAGGGAAATGCGTCCTTCTTTTCTTCTTCCTTTTTCGCGCCAGTGCGCTGCGCTAAGAGCCAATAAGGCGTTGCCGCACCAGCAGCCCATACCCGCGTTCCAGTACATCAAGAGTTACATCGCTGCTGGCGGGAATGTGGGAAATTCTCCGAGTAAAGGAATGCTTCTGGTGCTTGGCATAGTATCCGTAGTTACTGGGACACCATATTTTCCTCGAGAATCTGCATCTGTCCTTGTATATCCACTCTACGCGTGCTTGGTTGTCAAAGAACACGGTCGCGTGTGCCTCTTTTTTCTCTCATTTGGTCTGGAGCCCTTGCCTCTCAGTCCTGATCTCACCACACAATATACGCAATTGTCAAAGTATGGAAAACCCCCAAGTAAGAGAGGCAAACTCCATCTCGATGCGGCATCTACATACAGCCTTGCACAACACGCTGAGCCTGTCTCGACAACCAGATGAAATACAAAGTACGGATACTGGTCCCCTCGGGCCCGCGTCCTACCCCAGACGCTTTTTCTCTCATCGGAGTTGCATTCCGTTAATTTGGGACTATACTGATACAATTTTACGTCGACTTGGCGGACAGGGCTTCAAAGGCCTATTTGAGATGGCCATATTTCAACTTCCTTGGCTGATACTGCCCTTATTAACGGCGCTTTCTAGTTCCTGGCAAAGCTCGGCGCGAACCCCAGTCTGGACCACCAATATTCTGGCGAGGCTACGAGGCGGCTAGCTGTGGACAGTAAACATTCCTAGAACCCTGCTTGCCTAGCTATTGGTTGCCGTCGGCTTTTTCTCTAGCTCAACGCTACCAGAAGGAACTTGTTATTAGGGGAATACTCACCGATATCCTTGTTCCTTTGCTGCAGTACCGGCATTCCAGTGCCGGCGACTACCGAGCATCCGTGAAACGTCAGCACACTGCTCTGCTAGTACGGAATAGAACGCTGATCATTGGATCATGACTTGAACAACGTGGAGGCTCACGGCCGAGTCTGTCTCACCTCGCCATATACCTCAATCAGTAATTACAGCATTGATGATATATGATGCCCATGCGAATAACAATCCTACCCTGCAACGCAAATTACAGCTGAGATTGACACCCCACTGACAAGACCCCTGACCCAACCTAACTAACTAGCGTTCTCGCTTGCTTGTCTTCATCCCATGATTTGTACGAATTATCTGCATGGCGTCTTGTGTTGTGCAGTGTCAGTGATAACATCTTGTTGTTCTATCTCCTGCATATGCACACTGACTTAAGAATACGTCAAATACAGGTCGTGTATGCAATACATTGAATAAAGGTCGTGTATGCAACTCTTCTTCTTGACACGACCAAATTCCTGCTGTTAGTTTGTTTCTTCATGTATCAAGTGTTCCGAGAACAAGGGTGGCAGCTTCCGCTCCCTGGCCCTACCATACGACCCATGGTTCTTCCGCTGGAATTCTTGACAGGGCCAAGCTACATGAATTGACTCATTTTGAGCACAGAACATGGTTTGTACGGAGTTCATACGAGAGCACTGCACATACCCATCGCATATCATATGGCGCGGCAATATTCGCAATCGAAGATAATATCAGATGTTCCGAAGACGCCGCCAAGCATCTGTCGGGTATGACCTTTGTTGGGAACAATTGCACTACAGATAAAAACCACTACTCAGCGAACGCACACTAGGGAAAGCCCGGGCCACGATGATGCAAGGACCGTCAGTAGCTCTCTTTCGTGTAAGACCACTTCTGGGGAAGCGCTACGTAATGAACTCACATGTGCGCTACGAGAATATAAGATCAGCCGGTAGTTGATTCGGTGTAGGGCAAGTAGTAAAGAAGGCGAATTGATTAAAAATGGAACATGGGCGAGGGAGTTGGGCGTTTCAAGTAGCAGCAACAACAATGAATCGTACGCGCGCGATTTCATTTCCACTCCAAACCCGCCCCAGCAAGCCACACTGGGCCAGTGACAAAGGGCTTTGAAACAGATGATCCTTTTTAATCTGGATGCGCGCATCATCTCCCAGATCTGGAAGGTTCTTGAGGGAAAAAAATACGATAGACGACAAGGCGTGCGAGTATATACATGGAACCGCCATCTATTGATGCCATGATTGCGAGTGGGCCTAGTTGTTGAAGATGAGATGAACAGGGGCCACGAGTTCCATCAGGACCAGGAACTTGGTCGCCTCTTTGCCCGCGGCAAGATATGTGGCGTATGTTAAAATGGTACAATTTGAAGCTTGCTTACAAACTGGTTCGGGTGCGAGTGGGCGACACATGCGGAAGGTTATTTCAATTCTTCGTTTATATTATTATTAATAATTCCTTGGCCACGTCGACTTCTTGTTCATGGGAAGGCGGTCGTGTTGTTGCAATCAAATTCCAGTATTCCCTCCTCTTGTACAGCTCGACGTTTTCCCAGAAGTCCCCTCCTTAGTATCCTCAACGCTCCTCCTTCGCGGTCTGGCTCGATGGGGTAATTGAGTGCAAAAGACTCTTCGGGAGCCTTGCAAATACAAGAGACCCCAATATCACAACAGACCGTTTGCCGGAGCTCACAGCAGAGGTTCACTAAGTAGTGAAGATACGTCTTGCTCGTTACATGTACAGAGAAACCATCCAGCTCAGCAGCATCAACCACCCAGCCATGGAAGACATCACACCTTGCCAGACGCTCATGTTCATCTTGCCCATCTCCGTCACCCTGCCAATCTTGGGCATGTACTGAAACTCAAACTTGCTCGAACCGCCAATACCCCCGAGCCTGCGGTCCGTCACCATGTTGTGGCTAAACTGGATCCATTTCTGTATTCCGTCAGTCAGTCTGAAGTCTCAATTCTCATACCCACGATGAACAAGGCACACGTACCCGGTCTCTCCTCGCCTGCCAGGACGCAGGAAGCACGGCGTAACTGCCGCTGAAGCAGTTGAGCATGAGTCCCTGCAGGGCTGCCTGGCTGCGGTACCAAGCGTTCGGCGCCTCGATGCCCAGGGCCGCGCAGAGCTCCTCGCCGTTGAGGCGGTACGCGAGCGCAGCGAGGAAGCCCCGCGAGGTGTACAGGGGCGGCGTGGCGGCCTGCGCCGTGAGGATGTTGTTTGCGAGGATCTTGGAGCTCTCTGAGGGCCTGATCTCGCATATCAGCACCGTCTCCATCATGGCCCTGGCCTTGGCCGGCGTCGCCATCCAGTCGACGGGCGTGCCCATGATGAAGCCCACCCACCGCCACAGCGCGAGGTAGTCGGCAATCTGCCGCTCCGTCAGGTGGATGCCCATGCGCGGCAGCCCTACGAAGACGACCATGGCCGAGTACGCCAGGATCGTGCCGACCTGGTGCAGGTCGTTGATCGGGACGCCCCACTGCGCCGTGTCGTAGTAGTCCTCGCGCTCCCGGGCGAGGCGCATGATGCGCCGCCGGACGTTGGCGTGGAGGAGGCGCACGCGCACCGACGAGACGAAGCCCGCGCCGTGCGGCTGCACCGAGTCAAGGCCCTCGACGACTTGCACAAAGTGCTGCAGCGTCTCGAGGAGCCGCCGACGGCACACGTTTACGCCGAAGCCGCCGGTCCGCGAGAGGGTTTCGGCGATGCGCCAGGCTCCCATGCCGCCGACGAGTGATATAAACAGGAGCTTGCAGGTCGTCAGTTTAAATAACGAGGTAATTCAAGCGCTCCTGCAGGGAGGAACGTGCGAGGGCTTGACTTACACCGAGTAGCATCTGGCCTGGATAATGATAGACGACCTTCTGGCCTCGGCGAATCTGTTCCCAGTCTACCCAGTCGGGGATGTCTGTGACTTGCCTCCACAGCTTTCCAATCGTTTCGTCTGATTTCGAGTACTGTTCGAGAAGGCTGTACATGTCGCGTTGGCTCATGGGACAGCCGTCGGCCGCTTTGTTGCCTGGTGGAGACAGGATGTCTATCCGATCCAGGGCATCGTTGGCGAGTTTGTCATATGTATAGAGCATCTTGTGAGCGTCTTTGACCGACGGATGCCGGTCCGTCCATATGAACTCGTATCCATAACACTGGGCGGTGGTGCCCGGCTCTTGACTATGCGCCATGTCGGAAATTCTGCAAGGCGGCTGGAATATGAGGATGGCTCGATGGTACACGAGGCATTGGTGAGAAACTAATCAAGATAAAAAAACAACGACTATATCACATCACCTCTCAACTGAAGGCGAGGATCTGTACGCCTATTTATATGCTGTCTGATCTAGAAGCCCAGGCCAAGTATGCGTGCCCTAGAACTGTATCGTTTTCACATGCTTTTCCAGCCCTTCAAACGCACCCAATCAAATTGCCATCAAAGAAACCCCCCGCAGTAAGGATCAGGCAATGGTAAAACCATCCCGTGACAATTTGTGCCCGTACCCAACGAGCCAGCCCCCACGAGCGAGTCAGCGGCTGACAATGTGCAGCTAAAGTGTGTAGCGGCTGACGATGTGCAGCTAAAGTGTGTGTGTGCTTCGCCTTGTTCATCGGCAAGCCACAGTCTGTCCTATAATATCTACGTATTTACGTGTTTGAAGATTCAGAACTGGGGTCCCCAATATGCCCGTGCGCTGGCCCGGAACGGGGCCGGGGGCGGACATCACTTTTTGTTGCGGAGTAGCCGAGAAAGGCACCGCTCAGGCACAATAACCGGGCGGCACATGTTGAGCTGACTCGACAGCTGCTGAATCCGTATAACCGCTATAAAATTATGCTGACTCGCCCATGCCTGTCACACCCGCCACTTGCCCGTCTCTTACACGTTCGGTATCAACAGCCACGGCGCCATCACACCCGTCAGCCATGCCTGTATCGCACCCCGGAAGCGCCACTCCTCAGCAGCAGCAGTGTGGTCCCATAAATACAGGCACCGGCTCCTTCGAGGCCGCCAGACGAAAGCGTGAGCGCGACAGGGAATGTCAAAGGAGGAAGCGCGAGCGCGATCGGCGGTATACCAAGTGCCTGGAGGAGCGAATCCGGGAACTCGAGGGCCAGCTTGGGACGAGCCCGCGCCCGCAAAAGACGGCTGGCCCGGGGCAAGCCACCGCAGAAGAATGTGTTATAGATGGCGCCTGGAGTGTGCCGACGCCGTCGTCACAAGGGCGCCCGGATTTGACAGCGCGCCCTGCGGCGGCGGAGGAGCGGCGTGACAGCCGCTACCGGTCACAGTCTCTGGGCTCCTCGGTGCAACAGCTGTCGAGCCCGGCCGAAAACAGCGACCACGCCTCGTCCGACTCCGTCGTCGTGTCCTTGCGGGTCCTGGAGGCTTGCCTCTCCGCGCCGCAGTGGGCTCGGCTGCCACTGCACGGCTTGTCGCTCATGTCCGATCCCAGACACTGCATTCGGGGCAGCGGGCTGGCGCCCTTCATCACAAGCACGCGAGCCGATGCTGGCCTGGAGAGCCTCTGCCCGCCCACCCCAAAGGTAATCGACATCCTGTACGCCGGGTCCAAAAATCCCCTGGCCAATCTGATTGTCGCCGGGTGCTCCAGAGAGCCTCTCCTGGCACCGGAGAGGCTGGCGATTAGCTGGACGCTTTATCAGTACTGCAGGGTGAGTTACTTCTTGTTTTATTGGTGAACCTTTTACAGAGGGGGCCTGCCCATTGTGGAAATCAATCCTCTCCTCCATGTAGGGCGTCTGGCTAACTCTGCCAGTAGTGGCTCATATGGCCGTCGAAGGAATCATTCGAAAATTTGCCCGAGCACATGCATCCAACGGCGATGCAGCTGACGGTAGAGCACCAATGGTGCATCGACCTCGTGGCGTGGCCTGAGCTGCGCGAGAGCATGATACGGAACCAGTCCTGGCTGGACGTTGACGCCGCCATAGGCCTGTTCCTGTGTTCTCTGCGCATGCGCGGGTCTTTTAACACGCACTTTATATGCCGGCAGAATGAAGGCGATCTCGAGATTAACCCGGAGTTTTACAACCGGTTTACAGATCCGGCTAACTGGGGCCTGCTGGAGAACTTTTGGACAGTATATCCGGGCCTCGTGGAAGGGTTAGATCCGGGCTTAAAGATTAGGGAGAAGGACTTGCTAGCGTCCTTGTAATGCGGATTTGTAAAAATAGACAATTCCTGATGTAAAATACCTATGTAGTTGCTCAATAATAAAGGGCGAAACGCTTGCATGCCTGTTCTGTGCTCTAAAGATTCCATGATAGATCAAGGGCAGTCGAGCTAGTTAAAAAGTACTGGCTGGGGTGGCATCTTGTCACCAGATCGACGCCACGAGAGGCTACTTGCAATACTAAGTAGCCGATGAGCGCGCGGATCGTTCCTGACTCGTCGCTGACTCGCTGTTCCTGAATTAGCACTAGACCAGTCGGCCTATGATCTGCTGCTGACAGCCATCGTCAAACTCGGAAATATCCCTGACATTTTGCATAGATGCAACTGCCAGGCACGGGGTATAGAAGTATAGCGTTGCTCCGTACTCCGTAGAGAGTCTGGCAGTTTTTCGGCGTAGCAAGGCTGCCGGTCGGGTGTTTTGTAACTAGATATGGTCCCTGCCCCGAAGCCGTGTCGGTATTTGACCCCGACTGAACGAGAGCAGTCAACAATACCACGCGCCGAGAGGTCGATTTACGCAGCTTCTTGGTCGAAAGAGAGCCGAACTTGACCTCGGATGGCTCATCATCCTCAGTACTCGTCATCACTTAGTTACGGCGAGACCAGCTTCGACAAGCTCAAGTTTTAGCTAAATGGTTCATCACCCTCGATCTAAAAGGGTCGCCGGACCGTGTGCGTAAATGACGATATAGCACGCTCCCCGTTCATCAGATAAGACCAGCGTGATTGGTTTAGTGGTAAAATTCTCCGTTGCCATCCGCAACGTCGGGGAGCCCTGGGTTCGATTCCCAGATCACGCATTGACTCTTATTTTTGATGTTTATCAGTTTTATTTTTGGCTGGCGATTTATCTTACCTTCTTCCTGTGGTAATAATTGTTAGAGACAGAGATCCCCCGCTCAATTCACAGTCACGGTCATTCTTGACTCGTTCAAGTAATAAGTATGGTTTGTTGACGATCTAGCTAGAAGGCGTAGTGGTGTTGGTTAGGGCGATACCACCAGACATGATTGTTTCGTTACACTTTTCGAAGGCGAATTGTTGTCGGCCGGTAGCAGCTTGCTACTGAGTGGTGGTGGTATGGTATTCAGACTTGCTATTCCTGGCTCGCACCCGACAATCGCGTGGTAGCATCTATATTTACATACCAAGACCGAGTTTGACAGCACTGGCAGACCGGACATCAAACATGCCACCCATCGCGTTTCGGGCATTTTTTTTTCGTCAGTAAACTCATGTAGTTATCCTTCCTCAACCGCATGAGCTCTCTCTCCCCGCGAATGGACTTAGCACGATGTATGCTGATCAAGCGACATGCTACCCTATACTGGATATTCATTTCGATGTTCGAGGTTTTTGGGAGGCTGAGCCCAAATGCACCGGACAAAAAGGATCAAACACAAAATCTGCAGCTCGAGCTGGGGAATTTGGAGGAGTATATTCATGCTCCCGTGATACCGATGGCCAACGCAAACCGGGCCGATTCGTGTTCAATCATGAAGGATATAGTTTGATTCATCTCGACAACTTAACGAGTAAAATGTACATAGTTTCACATCCCAACCCAAGTCAACAACCAAAGTAAGTAGTACTTTAATTCCTTATTGCTTGGACTGGCCGGTGATAAAGGGCTTGCCCTCGCCAGGCCCGACGGGGAAGTCGGCAAAGATCTGCTTCGGGCGAAGCTCGACGGGAACAACGTTGGATGGCTGGTCGGGGATTTTCTTCTCCAGTTTCTGAAGCAGCCGTTAGCTATGTAGCGCAATGCTAATGCCAGCCAGATAACCTACCAAGTTGTCAAAGACACACTTGTTGAGCTTCCACTCCGCCGGGCGGCACTGCCACAGCTGGTGGTTGCGGTCGTCAAGGCATTCCCAGTGCTTGCGGAACTCGGCCAGACAATGCGTATTGATATCCTTGATGCTATAGTCACTTCATTAGTCGCCGTTTTTTAACCATGCCGGCTCGGCGAGAGGTAGATGCCGTCCTTGAAGTAGACGCTCTCCACACTCGTGCCGAACACCATACAATCTCTCAAACGTACACGCTCTGGGCGCAGCGGGTAACGCGGCGGCCCTCTTTCATGCAGTCAAACTCGCCGCGGCCGGGGTTGTCGGTCTTGCACTGCATGTAGTCGTCGTTGTAGTCGCGGCATCGGGCGCCGATGAAGAAGGACGCCGACAGGAGAGGGGCCGAGCTGGCACCAATCTCCTTGACGGCGGGGACGTCATCGGGGAGGGGGGTCGCGTCGATGAGGACCTGCTGGTTGAATCTGGCACAGAGCGTTGACGGGTCAGCTTTCGGTTGCTATTTTCTGATTTTTGAACTCGGGGTGTCGGGAGTCCGCGCGAGCGCATCAATTGCGCGGCGCGCAGAGCCAATGGGCACGGGATGTGGACGTACTGGGGCCGGCGAGTCGACATCGTGTCCGGTTTACTGCTGGATCCAACTATGTAGGGGGTTTTTCGAGACGAGAAGGAGTTGGAGGGCTGCGGTGATGCAAAGGCAATGGGCGCAGGATGGCGGGTTACTGGAGGTCAGAATTGGACGGTGCTGATTGGCTGGTGGGAGCTTAGCGCGAAAAAAACGGCAGCAAGTTGGAAGCTCACGTTTGCGGGCTGTGGTGGCCGACCTCGACGCGCTATTGCTCTACAGGGTCAAGGAAAGCAAGCAGTCTCATAAACTACAACCAGCTCAACAACGACCACCCGCCTTGTCAAAACCTGCGCCGTTGCGCCTCTGACTCATTGCACGAGCTGCGAACTGCGAACTGCATTCACTGGTGGATGCGCGTCATTGCACCGATCTTGTGTTGTTATTTTTCTTGCCGCTGGTAGCCTCGCACAGCAGCCAGTTTCTTCATAGAAGCTTTGTCCGCGAAGCGCCCTGCTTTCGAATCGCACATCGACGATAGAGAGTCATCCCCGCGAAGCTTCATCCTTCATACAACATACCAACCATGTCGATCTTTGGCCAGGCCAAGACCAGCAGCGCCTGGGGCCAGCAACCGACCATGTCGACACCAACCGCACAGCAGACCAGCAATCCTTTCGGCCAAACGCTGGGAGGCATGCAGCAGCGATCCAATCTCGTCAACAGCATGGCATCGCCGCCTCAGCAGACACAGCAAATGCCAGCGCTGTCACAGTCGCAGGCGCAGCTGTCCAGCTCGCTGTGGCAGCCGGGCAAGGAGACTCCTCGTACGTGGGCATCTTCTCCAAAGCTATACGCAAACACGGGTTTGGGAGACGCAAGAGAGAGAACGACAACGAAGCTAACATGGAGCCACTGCAGATCAGAAACCCATCCTCGAACAAATGAAGCTCGTGACGGAGAAGTGGGATGCGGCGAACCCCAGCTGCGTGTTCAAGCACTACTTCTACAACATGGTGGAAGAGGCAAAGATTCCATTTTACCAGCCGCAGCCGTACGAGGACCCGCGGGAGTGGGAGGAGGCGCTGCAGAACAAGCCGGCGCCCAACTTTATGCCGGCGCTCTGCTCCGGGTACACGGGTGTGGCGGACCGGCTCACGGCGCAGAAGCGGGCCATTGGCGATTTCAGCGCGCGGCTGCACCAGATCAACGGCAGCATAGACCTTCTCCTGCAGCGGCACGAGCTGGACACGGAGGTGCGGGCGCTGGCGGCGCGGCGACGGCAGGCGGCGATTCACGCGCGGTGCCTGGCGCTGGCGGCGCGGGTGCAGATCCTGCGCAACCGCGGCTACGCGTTGAGCGGCGACGAGGACGACCTCAACCGCCGCCTGCAGAAGCTGGAGCGCGAGGTGCAGGACCCGGCCGTCGGGGCGCGCGAGGAGGAGCTCTGGAGCCGCCTCATTGTGCTGCGCGGCTACTCGGACCGCCTGAACAAGGAGATGGGCAAGCCGGCGGCCGAGGGCGGCGAGCTGGACGAGGAGACACAGACCAAGGCCAAACGGGTGCGTTCCCCCTCCCTTTCCTTCTTCTGATTACCCCTGAATGCTTTGACGAGATGATGTGTGCTAATGTGTGCTAATGGGTGGAAATAGATTTTGCAAGATTACGAGAAGCAGCTCAATCATCTGAAGAAGGAGGTCGAGTCTTTGAGTGCAGACTACGCAGAATGGGAGCAGAGCCGCAGCTCCAACATGCGGACGAGATAGAAGGGGGGCAACAGCGTGGGAGTTCGCTTTTGGTTATGCTGCCACGGCAAGAAATGCCGCGATAATGGGAATGGGCGTCTTGAGGTTCTTTTTTTTTTCCATCACCGGCTTGTATTGTGTACTCAGAAAAGGAATATAACGTTATACTGTACAGAAATGCATCGGATTATGGTCTCTGGATTTTGGGTTGTGGTGGTGGCTCGATATGATTCATTTGATGTCATACTGTTGTCCTGGCGCATCATTTGAGTATATGGTTTGGATACTGTGATTTATCGAAGGTCTGTCCGAAGTCGGGTGCACGAGTGCGGCGCTGGTTATCTGCGAATGAGCGGTGACGTTTCCCGTTTCCAATAGCTGCCTCATGAACCGTTGAGGCCGTCGGTTGCAGCGCAGGTGTTAACAATCACATGCAAATTGCGCCGGGCCTATATCATCTTGAAATTGTCAAAGATTTGGAGCTAAAATTAAACATATATTTGTGGTATTTTTGTCTATACCCGCGTACATGGAAAACTTTTCCTGGCCGTCTCCTTATCGTACAGATGCGTGCCCCCTGAATAGCTTTTTTGCAGAGGTTGGTGCCGATTGCGTCGACGCTCGAGTGCATAAAATTACAACGACATGATTTCCAATGTCGCGAGATTGATCGGTCATTTTTTGGAGATTATTTTGACTTCAGGAATCACCGTCGTCGTGGTCGGGAAGGTTGCGCTGGCGCGCGCATTGGGCGGCGACTTTAGAATATGCGGCTCACCATGTCAATGGCAAAGGGAGCTGCATCGCATTAGCAAACGCGCCATCACGGACACGATGAGAAATCCACCGAGGGCGTAATATGAGCTTCACGTACAGAGGTAGAGCATCAGGGCCGTGGCGGCGGCCTGCTGGACACTAAAGGTAGCTTCGGCCTCGAGGGCGCGAATCTCCTCGACAGACTGCTGGGGGGGAGCAACTGCGCATCACCAGTTAGCGACAACAGTCGATTTTTTTTTTACCCAACGCCATGACAGCATGGAATGAAAATAGCTTGGCTGGGCAAGCGGGGTGTGGTCACACTCACATCCTCCAAACATTTTTGCGACGTTATGTGGTGGGATTGGTTGATGGAGGGAAAAAAGAATATCAATTAAAATAAATAAATGGAAAAAAATGGGCGGTATGATGCAGTGGACAGGTTACGTAAAAGGCCAGGCGATGTCGGATTTTGGGGGCAAAAAAAGATCGAGAAGCAGGTGGGTACGTACAGAGAGGCGGCAATATGTACATGAAGGGTACGGATACAGAGGGTACAGAGGGCGCAGACTGGACGTTGGTGGGTGGGGCTGGAAGGGAACTGCACCAGATCAACAGCTGATGGCTTGCGGAATGTTGTCACGAGAGCTGCAGTGGTGACAAAGGGGAAGGAGGTACCCTTGGAAGAAGGTGCTGACGGCCTAGCGTGGGTGGCCTGTCGGTCGCAGCGGGTTCGGTATCGTGGAAATGTTCACTCCGACAGGCCGTCAGCCCGCGGCCGTGATGCAGTGAGAACCCAGTATCCGTAATGTGGGAGCGTTATGTAACTGCTCTAATAAAGGTGGTCAGCCTCCGCCCAGAGCCTCTTCCCAAAACAAACAGCTGCTTGACGAATGGGCTTCCTGGAACCCGCCGATTCGCTCAGTGTCGGCATGGTGGTATCCGATATCGTCCGCCCCAGCTTGTTTTTTATTTTACGGCCTGCTGCTTCGAACAAACTCTGCCAGTTGCTGGTCTGCGATAGCGCCAGATCATGTACCGCCCATGTACCCCTCCACAGCCTGACACGCCCGCTCCTCTGCAACCGCTCGCGCTTGGTGGATATCTTGGGTCTGTTACTCATTTATTGGCTTGTCTCGAGACTTGCAGGGTACTTGTGTCAATCTAGTTGGGTAATAGATACGGATACAAGTCCCACTCCATCACAGTACGTACCTATCTGTTCTGCGCGCTCTCGCTGCCAGCCAAAGTTGTCACTTCTCTTTCTGTACAGGTTTGTTTCGTCTCCTTCTCCTCTTCTTATCTCTTACATCAAACTTTGTCCAATATCGTGTCCTTCGCATTACCGGTGCTTCCATTTTCGCACCCTTCTACTTCTTGGTGACGCGTGACGCCACGCGATCGACAAGGCTTCCTTTGCTTTGGCTCGGCTGCGCTCGGCTAAAAAAAGTCGGCCGCCACTACAGTACCAAACTCGCCCTTTTCTTTCTCCCCTCCTCCCCTTCTCTCTGACACACACATTCGCCAATTGAAGCATCAATTGCTCTCTTGGCTCCGTCACAATGGCTTCTCGACTTGCCATCGTTCGGGGTGCTTCCCTTCAGCACTCCATCTCTAGATCCGTGCCCCTCATCGCCCGCCGTGGCATCGCTTCCGCCACCACCCCTCGCCAGCTCTCACACACTCCTCAGACCGAGGTCGATGGCCACAGGAGATCCCACGCCGCTCTGGAATCCCTCCAGCGCGACCCGGCCTACCTTCAGATGAAGACGGCCCAAGATGAGAACCCCCAACCATGGATGGACTTTGTCGCCCGCCACATTGGGCCCCGCGACTCTGACATTGACGCCATGCTCAAGACTGTTGGCGCCGACTCTCTCGACACCTTCATCTCCCAGGTTATCCCCAAGGATATTCTCCTCCCCCCCAAGAAGACTATTCAGCCCAAGAAGCTCAGCGAGTCGGGCGTTGCCAATGTTTTCAAGAACATGAGCGCCCAGAACGAACTCAAGACCTGGATGAACGGCGGTGGTTACTACCCCGTTGAGATTCCCACCGTCATCAAGCGCAACCTGCTCGAGAACCCTGCCTGGTATACCAGCTACACTCCCTACCAGGCCGAAATCTCTCAAGGTCGTCTTGAGTCTCTCCTCAACTTCCAGACCATGATCTCTGACCTGACTGGCCTTCCCGTTGCCAATGCTTCGCTCCTCGACGAGGGTACCGCTGCCGCCGAGGCCATGACCATGTCTTGGAACTCGCTGCCTACCTCCCGCGCCAAGCGTCCCAACAAGACCTACGTCGTCTCTGACCTTCTGCATGATGCCACTGTTCGCGTCATGCACGGCCGTGCCGAGGGATTCGGAATCAAGCTCGAGGTCATGGATCTCTCCGCTCCCGATGCTCACGACAAGATCAAGGCTTTCGGTGACGATCTCGTCGGTGTCATGGTCCAGTACCCCGACACCAATGGTGGCGTCCAAAACTACCGCGAGCTTGCTGATCTCGCACACGCTCAGGGCACCCTTCTTGCTGCTGCCACCGACCTGTCTTCTCTGACTCTCCTCACCCCTCCCGGTGAATGGGGCGCCGACGTTGCTTTCGGCAATTCTCAGCGCTGGGGTGTCCCTCTGGGTTTCGGCGGCCCCCATGCCGCCTTCATGGCCGCCCAGGAAGCTAGCAAGCGTCGCCTCCCTGGCCGCATCATTGGTGTTTCCAAGGACCGCAACGGCCGCCGTGCACTGCGTCTCGCTCTACAGACTCGTGAGCAGCATATTCGCCGTGAAAAGGCTACCTCGAATGTCTGCACTGCTCAAGCTCTTCTTGCCAACATGTCTGCTATGTATGCCATCTACCACGGTCCCGGCCAGCTTCGCGAGATGGCCGTCACCAACCTCCGCCACGCTCGCATGATCCAGGCTGCTGCTCAACATTACGGCCTCAACGTCATTTCTTCTTCCGTCGACCCGGAGGGCCGTGTTCTCTCCGATACCGTCACCATCTCCTTCAAGGATCCTATTGTCTGCCGCGCTCTTCGCCGTGAGCTTAATGACCGCGGCATCAGCAGTGGCAAGGCTTGGTCCTCCAACGAGATTGTCCTTGCTGTCCCCACCACCTTTACCCTCAAGAACTATGTCCGCATTGTGCAATCTTTCCGTGACGTCTCCTCCAAGAACCACACGAACGCTTACGTCGATGTTGCCAACAAGTACTGGACCGAGGGCTACAAGGTCTCTTCAGACGAGATTATCAAGAGCCTCCCCGACTCCGTCCGCCGAGAGTCCAAGTTCTTGACTCACCCAGTCTTCAACTCCCACCACTCAGAGACCGAGATGCTCCGCTACATGCACCACCTACAGTCTAAGGATCTGTCCTTGGTTCACTCTATGATTCCTCTTGGCTCCTGCACCATGAAGCTCAACGGTACTACTCAGATGGAGCTCATTGGCACCGAGTCCTCCTCCAACATCCATCCCCATGCTCCCGTGTCTGGCGTCAAGGGCTACCAGAAGCTCTTTGCCGCCACCTCCGCGCAGCTTGCTGCCCTCACTGGCATGGACGCTACTTCCCTGCAGCCCAACTCTGGCGCTCAGGGTGAGTTTGCTGGTCTTCGCGCCATTGCCAAATACCACGAGGAACACAATGGTGGAAAGCGTGATATCTGCCTGATCCCCACCTCTGCTCACGGCACCAACCCTGCCTCTGCCGCCATGGCCGGTCTGCGTGTGGTCCCCATCAAGTGTGACACCGCCACTGGCAACCTCGACATTGCCGATCTCCAGGCCAAGGCTAAGAAGTACGAGAAGGAGCTTGCTGCCATCATGATCACCTACCCCTCCACCTATGGTGTTTTCGAGCCCGAGGTTCGCAAGGCTTGCGATATTGTTCACGAGCATGGTGGTCTCGTTTACATGGACGGCGCCAACATGAACGCCCAGATCGGCCTCACTTCCCCCGGCGCCCTCGGTGCTGATGTCTGCCATCTCAACCTCCACAAGACCTTTTGCATTCCCCACGGTGGTGGTGGCCCTGGTATCGGTCCCATCTGTGTCAAGGACATCCTTGAACCATACCTACCCCACCAGAACAACCAGACTCCCGTCTCCAGCGCCAGCTTCGGTAGCGCAAGCATTGTACCCATTAGCTGGGCCTACATCTCCACCATGGGTGATGCCGGTCTTCGCAAGGCTACTACCGTGGCTCTCCTCAATGCTAACTACATCCTCGCCCGCCTCAAGGAGCACTACCCTATCCTCTACACCAACGAGAACGGCCGCTGCGCTCACGAGTTCATCATTGATGCCCGTGGCTTCTCTAAGACTGCTGGTGTCGAGGCTATCGATATCGCCAAGCGTCTGCAGGACTACGGCTTTCATGCACCTACCATGAGCTGGCCTGTGCCCAACACTCTCATGATTGAGCCGACTGAGTCTGAGAGCAAGGAGGAGCTGGACCGCTTCATTAATGCCCTGATCAGCATTCGCCAGGAGATTCGCGAGGTCGAGGAGGGCAAGCAGCCCCGCGAGGGCAACGTTCTCAAGAACTCTCCCCACACCCAGCTTGACCTGTTACTCGGCGACAATGGCAAGTGGGAGCGTCCGTATAGCCGCGAGAAGGCCGCCTATCCCCTACCTTACCTAACCGAGAAGAAGTTCTGGCCCACGGTTACCCGTGTTGACGACAGTAAGTTGCAAACTCTGGAGCTTCATTGATACACCAAACTGACCAACTCTACAGAGTACGGTGATACCAACTTGTTCTGCACTTGCCCCCCTGTCGAGGACACTACTGGCACCAACTAAGCATTGCGATTTCTCTGCAATTGAATATAGATCAGCTCCGAAGTATGCTATAGGGACAAGCGGCATGCTGAATAAAGACACATGCTCGCAAAACCCGCATCGGAAATGACTGCGAGACACGTCCTGTGTTCTAACTATACCAGTCTAACATGGTTTTGCGTTGGGGAGAGGACGCTGCTTGCGTAATAATGCAACGCCTTCTGCTAACCAGCTCCATGTGGCATGGAGGGGAATCGAGTGCCTGGCAGGCGAACTGTCAGTTTTCTTGCTTCTCCTCCATGTACATGTTCCTTTTTGTTTTACCACTGCTCGCGTTTTGGATTGCACTTTTAACATCACTTTTTTCGAAACTCTTCAACAAGAGTTGTCACCTGGGAAAAATACACCGTCGGATTTGACTTTTTGCACTCTGGATTTTGGATTTTCTGTTATCTTTCAAACTTTCTGTTTGTTAAGCGAGACCCAATATACAACATCTCACTTGGCAAATGGCAAAAAGGCGTCTTTGTTTCATCTGTTTGGGAACTGGAAGAGGACTGTCACCGGCGACTGACGGCATCCTTTGGCATTCAACATTTACGACCGGCGTACTGAAACAATTGTTTCTCTCTCCTTCCTCTTCTCCCTCCCTCGGGTGGCTGGCGTCTTCAACAACTGGGGAACACAACGGGAACATAACCCACATCCGACCAAGAGAAACACACAATTGACATTATCTTGGATTTCGTTAACGCAAAGGGACGTTGTGTCCTATTCTCATTACTTACAACTATTCTAGATACCCCGTGCTTGACTACGGTCAAGCAGCACTTTTTTTTTTAATTTCTTGGAGCGATTTGGCTGCCTTGAGTTCCCACAGCAAGACAGATGATGGCTACGGTCTGCCATGGTCGACTCGGCATAGCGAAATGGGCCCTCTGAATTGACAGAGGACCAGATACGCGATACAATGCATTTTGTTAAAGGGTCCTGGACCCCGATTTATTGTTCCCTTATGCCTCGTGACGTGACTTGAATGTGCATCTTCCTATGCTGCTTCCACACAATATCGACCTCCCAGTTAATCAATATACACTTGTTTTGAACTTTGGTTTCCTTCTATTCTTTGTGTTGCGTGTGATTTTCTTCACATATAAATCATGAAACCTGATCAGAGTCTTGCAACCCCCCTTTTCTTCATTCATATAATCATTCCCAAATGGTCCGGGTTCTCTACGCCTCAAACACCAAGGCCACGCCGTCATCACCCGCGGTGACGACGCGTTCGCCCGTCTCGCCCTGCACGAACCCGAGCACGCCGCCGCCCTCGCCATCCCCGCGGTGGCCCTTCCACTCCTTGATGAGGCCGCCGTCAGTGGCTCCCGCGGCGCCCCCCGTGGCCTGGGCAGTGGCGCCGACGGCGCTCCCGCGCAGGTCCCAGCGGCGGACGACGCCGTCCATGCCGCACGACGTGAGCGTCCACGGGTTGCTGCGGACAAACTCGACGCGGACGACCGAGTGCTCCTCGTGCGCGCCTACAATGTGGCGCCGGACGGCGAAGCGCCGCGTGGCGTCGTACACGCAGATGGAGCCGTCAACGGAGCCGGCCGCGAGCAGCACCGTGGCGGGCGTCGTCTGCGCGAGCGCGACGGCGAGCGTCTCGACGCCGTCGGACTGGGTGTGCAGTGAGGCGAGAATCTGCCCTCCGGTGGTGGTGTCGGCGGCGGCGGCGGCGGCTCCCTTACCCTGCGCGGCGGGCGCGGCGCTGCCCAGGCGCGGGAGGGAGACGATTTTGATGGCGCCGCCGGCACCGCCGACGGCGACAAAGGTGGCCTTGGGGTCGACGGCGACCGAGTACAGCCCGCCCTCGACCTGGAAGCGCTGGTCCTCGGGGCTCATGGCCACGGCCGTCTGGCCGTTGCTGTCGACGATGCCGCGCGCGGCGGCGGCGCCCCAGACATCCCAGACGTACAGCGTGCCGTCCTCGGACACGGTGGCCAGCAGCCGCCCGTCGGGCGTCCACGTGCCCGCGGTGCAGGCGCCGGTGTGGAGAAAGTACGACTGGACAATCTGCAGCGGGTTGGCGGCGTCGGCCGGGTCGACGCCGTACACCCACACGGAGCCGTCGTTGGCGCCGAGGGCCACCGTGTTCGGGT